TTAAAATGCTAGTTAAACATTTTATTCCTTAACTTAGGCAAATTAATTGTGATTGAATTTTTTTTTTTTGAAAAGTGTACATTCTGTTTATTAACCCGTCAGTTAAGAGAATACTTGCACCATGTTTTGTAGATGTTTCAGTGATTATATTTCAGTATATTTCAGTGAGATGTCTTACTGAATGTAACTAGAGTTTTAATATCTTATGCTTTTGACAGGACCGAGTAGGAGGAAGAGTTGCCACCTTTCGCAAAGGGAATTATGTTGCTGATCTGGGAGCAATGGTGGTAACAGGACTGGGTGAGTTTTTCAAAATCAAAAAGACCAGGGAGGAAAACTGAGGGGCAAAATGCTGTAAATGTGAAACCTTAATGCTGTTTTCTTTCATGGCCAAAATAATGGGGTACTTTTAACTCTTAAAAAAGTGTGTGTTCTTATTCAGCCTTTTTGGCAGTTAGTAGTTTTCATAAATAACAAAGTTATATATGATGGGTGAGACCTTAAAGAGACAGAATGTATTATTTCAGTTTACATGGAAAAACAAGGGAGGAGGGGAAATGCAGGGCCATTCTAAAGAGAAAGCCCTTCTTCAGAGTTTAAACCCCAAAAGTACTTTCTTCACTGATTTCAAAAATAGTTGTAAAAATAATGGAAAACAAGCAAAATTTCTTCCTATTTATTACTGTTTTATGGGTTGGCAGTTATTGACATGGTTACTCTGCTAAGAAGATGGGCAAGTGTTTAGTGTGGAATATCCTTCAGCAATGTAGTGAAATGATAAAATACTGTAAAACCTATAATGAACCCCCATTTTTACTGACAGCCTTAATTTGGCATCTGTCTCATGATTAGTCTTATTAAATTGCATACAGAAACTGGTTCCAGACAAAGTACTGAACGTCCACAGTCATGGAAAAGCAGATTTCAGTTTGCCTATTGAAAGACTGTAATATTTTTATGTTTAATTCATAGAACCATGGAATCTTAAGGGTTGGAAGGGACATTAAAGATCATCTAGTCCAAATCACCCTTGCCATGGACAGGGACACCTCCCCCTAGATCAGGTTGCTCAAGGCCTTGTTCAGCTTGGCCTTGAGCACTGCCAGGGTTGGGGCATCCACAACCTCCTTGAGCAAGTTGTTCCAGTATCTCACCATCCACACAGGAAAGTACTTCTTCCTAATAATCCAGCCTAAATTTCCCCTCATTCAGTTTATACCCATTACCCCTTGTCATATCAATACTGTTTCTGATGAGATGGCCCTCTCTGGCTTCCCTGTAGAACCCCTTCAGATACTGGAAGTAGGTATTTGGTGGGTGGGTTTTTTCCATGTCCTCATTGCAGGAATCACAGAAGTGCAGACCTTTGGCAGTGTTACACCAGGTCACTGGAATGCATACACTGGGGTTAGTGTTTTAGTCTCTGAAATTGCTTTAACTGTGGAGTTTTTGTTTAATTGCTAACAAATTTTACAGAATTCTCTGTTAAACTATATAAAATCTTTTCCAGGAGGAAATCCCATGGCTGTGGTCAGCAAGCAAGTAAATATGGAACTGGCAAAGATCAAACAAAAATGTCCACTTTATGAAGCGAATGGACAAGCTGTAAGTCTGATCCTGTTTCCATGAACCTTCTAAAAAAGAAGTAATATCTCTAGTGTGTTTGTTACCAGGCTACTGGCCTAGCCTAAGATGGCTTCCAGAGAGAGGGAAGAAGGAAGGTGTGTGTCCCTTTTTAGGCAATTTACTAATTTTGTAGCATACCTGCACATACACTTCTCTTTCCAAATGAGTTTTTACCTTTGCATTTCAGAGGTTTTGTGGAAGCCAAGTTTCTCTCTCCTTTGTTTAAGCCATGCGCGGTTTAACAGATGTGAGGTTTGCTCTTTGCATCACTTGAGCTCTCATCATGTAACAGGTATTTTCACACTGGCAGCACTCACTGTTTAACTGAGTATCATCAGTACAGTTAAATACCACCATTCCATACATGTCCTGCAGTGTTTCCATCATCCTAGAAAAGCTACATTGGTAGTTCTTACTCACAGTGACCATTCCAGAGGATAAATTACTGTCTGTCCACTTCACTGGGCTATGCCAAGCCTTCTAAAGCCTTGTGATTGTGTAGAGCCATCCTACTGTCAGTCTTTTGGCAAGCTTCTGTAGCTTTGATGAACACACCTTATTTTCCAGTAAGGAAATCTTATGAGCCCATAAGGCAGTATAGTTTTCTCTTGCAAGAGAGATCTGTTGTCATCGTGGTTTGACAGTTCTTCTTGTGCCCATCCTGGCAAAGTGTGACATTGTGTTGTACAGACCTTGGTGTCTGACCATTTGAGAGAGCTAAGGATATGAATTTTTTTTTTTTTCCCAAGGGCTATTCTCAGCAGCTGTATTATTNAGAGCTGCAAACTGCAGTGAGCAGCCTCTTAATTAGCCATTCACCTCAAAAAGCCTCCCAAATTATAAAGAAATTATTTCTTGATCATTCCTATTCATTATGGTTGTAGGATTTCCATTTTAATTTGGACTCTGTGGGGAACTGTGAAGCTCAGTAATACAACTCTAGAGAAATACCCAAATAAAGGACTAATTATAGAATACATAATGGAGTGGAAGTGCTATGTATGACCTAGATCTAGGCATGCAACTGTAAAATTATTTATTAACTCCTGCCTCTCTGCTACAAAGTAGGAGTTCTGTGGGAAAAACAGTTCTTTTTTTTTTCTATATGAAAATATGTGATAAATGTGACATGATACAATCATATCATAGACAATTCTTCCTGCTTGATTTTTGAACTAAATGTCTTGTAAATATGCTTTTTTTGTGTATATGTGGCCAGTGTAGTCCATGGTCGTGTTCTATATTGGTGAAGATGGATTGGATCATTAAATGTCAGAGATCAATAAACCTTATAACATGATAAGTGCAGCTTTATGAAAATATGAAATCTGGTGCCAAAAAGACACTGCTGGCTGCACACATCTTTGTGCTACCTTGGTTCTTCTTGTTTGAAATGATGTGAAATTTTCAGACTGTGTTGCACCTTAAGGAACACTGGAAGGTGAAGTTCAGTGTGACTTGTGTAGTCCTGCCAAAGTTAAATTCATTAGAGGGCTTCATCTCCTGACAGTATTTGGTAGCACACACATGCCTGGAAAACACCTCTTTTGTATTGCTTAGTATGACATGTTGTATTGTTTGTTTAAATACAGCTGCAGCTCTGGTTGGATAACCCAAAGATTCAGCTGACATTTGAAGCAACTATCCAACAGTTAGAAGCACCTTATAATAGTAAGTCAAGTTTTTCGTTTCCAAAATCATACTGTATATATCAGTGCTGGTTTTTTTCACTTTTGTTCGTGTAAAAGCTGCTTCAGATGCTTCAGTCCTCAGTGGAGCTCCGTGAGTGGTTGTGTATAGACTGGGATATTGCATTTTATACTCATGGTTCACATTTGGTGGAGTTCATTGTCTGGTAAAGAAATACCACTACCAGGATTCATAAAAAGATGGATTGTTACAGTAGTGTTAATTCATGTGCAGCTTTTAAGGTTTGCTATGGCTTCTTGGTGGTTCTCAGCTGTAAAATGTTATTAATCATAAGGTTTTTTGAGAGGTTTTTTTTTTAAGACTTAAACAGACTGTGATGCAAAAAGGCAGTAGAAGAGTGAGGAGTTACTGCTTGCAAATGGAGACCATTCCACACTTCTCAAATGGAGACCATTCCACACTTCTCAGAAAAGATCCCAATAAACTGGGAAAAGGTGGAGGGTAGCCATAAAAAAATAATTGAAGAAGAAAATAGTGCCGAAAAGAATGCAAATATACTGTCAAGGATCGCAAAATAGTGAACTACTGTGCTTTTAAAAATAAAAATGAGAATTCAATGCTGCAGTAAATATTGGCATAATACCAATAATAACAATTCTGTGTCGTTATCTTGGGATTTTGCAGTTTCAGAAAAGGTGTTCTTCTTCACTAGAGTAGAAGAAGTGCCTAATGTCCTGTACAGCTTTTCAGTCAGGATTCAAAACTGCAGTACAGCATGGGTATTTTTCAGAAAAGCAGCCTCAGGCCTCCTCAGAAGGATGAGTGGGTCAGTAGCAGAGCTGTAGGGCAGGATGTGTTTAGTGGGGCTCGACCATACAAAAGAGTGAAGCCCCTTCCAAGTAGGAAACTTGTGCATTGTTTCTAATTGAAGTTTTGTTTTATTGTTCCATGATTTCTTAGGACAGTTTTTTGATTGCTTTTTAGAATTGGAGTGCTAAGAAAAGAAAAAAAAGGCTGGAAAGCCATCTGACTGTTGATGTTAATGTGTTATATTTTGGCATAGAGAAGCCATGTATTTATGTAAATCACTTTGAGAGGAAAAAAATCTTGGCAAATCTTCTGTAGATAATTCGGTGACTGTCACTTTTTAATGAGTTATCTTGGTTCTCATTTAAAGTCAGAAACACAATATTGTACTTAGGTCTGTTACATGCTTATCTGATTCTTGAATTTTGCAAGTGAACTTCTCTGCCCTTTTTAAGTTTTATTCTTCTGGGGCAGAAATAAATAAAACTATGATACTTTGTCCCCAGTAATTAATATGAATTGCATTCTTCTTCAGACAGTTGTCTGGAAGCATTTTTTCTCCTGTTTTCTTCCTTGTCCCAGATGTACTGCTAGTGTATTTTCCTTGTACCTGTCTCAGTGTTACATTCAGAATTACTTTTTCATCATTATATCAAATTACAGTTCTCTTTTTGTTAAAGAGTTTGTTTTGTCAGAACTAGTCATGAAAAGAAAGCTGCTTTTTGTTCTTAGTATCTCTTAAATGCAACTCTTACATGACTGTTTGCCATTTAGTACTGCACATATGAAGGACTACTGTAGCTGATTTTTCTCTATCTTTAGCCAAGAAGACAGGAAAGGTGATCATTATTGGTTCTGGAGTCTCTGGGTTGGCAGCAGCTCGCCAGTTGCAGAGTTTTGGAATGGATGTCACAGTTCTGGAAGCCAGAGTATGAATTTTTGTGCTATTTTACTTCTGTGTGGCAACTTAACCAGTAAACCTATTCAGTACTAGGACAGGGCTGTGTCAGTCAGGATGAATTGCTGATACTGAACCAGCCTCACAAGGAACTGAGCAGATCTGTTCTTGATGGGAGCTGTCTGATGCTTTCTCAGCTGGGCTGGATACTCAGGTGCTAGTGTTGTGTGCTTACACCAGGAACAACCTTTAAGGTGTGCTTAGACCTTAAAATGACCTTCTTTCATGATTAGAAATTGGTTTTTCATCAGCAGAATGCAAGTCCAGAATGCTAAACTAAAGGGAAGACTAAACAGAATTTCAAGAGTGTATTATTAAGAGTTTGTTAAACTGTGGGAGAGGGTAAGAAAAGCACTGGAAGTTATAGCTGTGTATTGACAGTCTACAAAGTTACAGATATTAAAAAAAATACATATAAAGCTAAAAATCTTTAGGAATCAGGGGGAGGAGGAAATCTAGTGTATAACTAAATTTGTGTGTGGGCAGTTGAAGGGATTGGCTTTGGAATCACAGTGGATCCTGCTGTAAAAATAGTGAAATCTGCCCAAATATGATTAGGCATCTTTTTTTCTATTTCTTTCCTTTTTTTCTTCTCCTTTTTAAAATGCTAGTTAAACATTTTATTCCTTAACTTAGGCAAATTAATTGTGATTGAATTTTTTTTTTTGAAAAGTGTACATTCTGTTTATTAACCCGTTAGTTAAGAGAATACTTGCACCATGTTTTGTAGATGTTTCAGTGATTATATTTCAGTATATTTCAGTGAGATGTCTTACTGAATGTAACTGGAGTTTTAATATCTTATGCTTTTGACAGGACCGAGTAGGAGGAAGAGTTGCCACCTTTCGCAAAGGGAATTATGTTGCTGATCTGGGAGCAATGGTGGTAACAGGACTGGGTGAGTTTTTCAAAATCAAAAAGACCAGGGAGGAAAACTGAGGGGCAAAATGCTGTAAATGTGAAACCTTAATGCTGTTTTCTTTCATGGCCAAAATAATGGGGTACTTTTAACTCTTAAAAAAGTGTGTGTTCTTATTCAGCCTTTTTGGCAGTTAGTAGTTTTCATAAATAACAAAGTTATATATGATGGGTGAGACCTTAAAGAGACAGAATGTATTATTTCAGTTTACATGGAAAAACAAGGGAGGAGGGGAAGTGCAGAGCCATTCTAAAGAGAAAGCCCTTCTTCAGAGTTTAAACCCCAAAAGTACTTTCTTCACTGATTTCAAAAATAGTTGTAAAAATAATGGAAAACAAGCAAAATTTCTTCCTATTTATTACTGTTTTATGGGATGGCAGTTATTGACATGGTTACTCTGCTAAGAAGATGGGCAAGTGTTTAGTGTGGAATATCCTTCAGCAATGTAGTGAAATGATAAAATACTGTAAAACCTATAATGAACCCCCATTTTTACTGACAGCCTTAATTTGGCATCTGTCTCATGATTAGTCTTATTAAATTGCATACAGAAACTGGTTCCAGACAAAGTACTGAACGTCCACAGTCATGGAAAAGCAGATTTCAGTTTGCCTATTGAAAGACTGTAATATTTTTATGTTTAATTCATAGAACCATGGAATCTTAAGGGTTGGAAGGGACATTAAAGATCATCTAGTCCAAATCACCCTTGCCATGGACAGGGACACCTCCCCCTAGATCAGGTTGCTCAAGGCCTTGTTCAGCTTGGCCTTGAGCACTGCCAGGGTTGGGGCATCCACAACCTCCTTGAGCAAGTTGTTCCAGTATCTCACCATCCACACAGGAAAGTACTTCTTCCTAATAATCCAGCCTAAATTTCCCCTCATTCAGTTTATACCCATTACCCCTTGTTATATCAATACTGTTTCTGATGAGAAGGCCCTCTCTGGCTTCCCTGTAGAACCCCTTCAGATACTGGAAGTAGGTATTTGGTGGGTGGGTTTTTTCCATGTCCTCATTGCAGGAATCACAGAAGTGCAGACCTTTGGCAGTGTTACACCAGGTCACTGGAATGCATACACTGGGGTTAGTGTTTTAGTCTCTGAAATTGCTTTAACTGTGGAGTTTTTGTTTAATTGCTAACAAATTTTACAGAATTCTCTGTTAAACTATATAAAATCTTTTCCAGGAGGAAATCCCATGGCTGTGGTCAGCAAGCAAGTAAATATGGAACTGGCAAAGATCAAACAAAAATGTCCACTTTATGAAGCGAATGGACAAGCTGTAAGTCTGATCCTGTTTCCATGAACCTTCTAAAAAAGAAGTAATATCTCTAGTGTGTTTGTTACCAGGCTACTGGCCTAGCCTAAGATGGCTTCCAGAGAGAGGGAAGAAGGAAGGTGTGTGTCCCTTTTTAGGCAATTTACTAATTT